CATTTTCTGAAGTATATAATTAAGCTCTTGCAGACCTCCTGGAAAATGCATTTTTGAAATTGAGCCTTGAGATTGCAGATTTGTCCTCTTGGTTGAATTGCCTTGATTTTTCTCTCTCTTTGAACTGAATATTAAAATAAATCTGGTAAGTCCCCTCAAACAAGAACTCAATTGGAAATTTTTGACAGGAAGTAAAATAATGAGAGAAACATTCACCTGGAATTTCTCCAGTCAGGTTCCTTAGGAAACCTATCTATAGCATATGTTACGCTTATTCATGATAGATTATTTTCCCAGGGACTTCTGTTGCTCAGCTCCACGAAGCATGTTGCTTAATCTCTTTGTCACCTTCAGCAAAATTTGGATGCAAACCATAAGTTTTGTTCATGTGCATATTTCTAAATGTGTGTCTGTTCCTTTCCTCCTGTCCCATTGCATCATATGATTTTAAAAATGAAAATTGAAAATGTAAGCTTCTTGGCAAATGTCTGACTTGATCACTTAATTGTCTTGTAAAGATGTTTATCCGGGGTGATGTTTATCTGTGATTATCAGGGGTGAAGAATGTGTGGCCCTTTCTAATGTTCTTCACTTACACCCCCATCAAACTAAGCTGAAGGGGCTAGTGGGGCTTACTGTCTAAGAACATCTAGAAGGCCATGTCGCAAAATGGCTGTCCAACTTGGCAAGTTGTTTTCCTCCCTTTCTTTACTCCAGTAAACCAAAATCCAGATTACAATCACCAAGAAAACTTACTCTTGCCTAGAGCTAATAACTTTTTTTAAAAAAAAAATGCAATCAAGTAAGAAAAGTCCTTAAAATCACAAGTTGTATTATTTATTTATTTTTGTGAAACTGGTAAGGGAATATCGATGATCTATTCATACCTGTCAGACATCTGTTGCAATCATTGTTCTTGGTTTTGTGTGCCACTTTGAAGATCAAATTTGTTAATGGCAGGTAAATCTGCGGATTACATCTGTTTTCTCACAAATATGAGAACTGCAATGTATTTGTATAGTCCCAGGGAGCTCTGCACCTCATTTTAAAAAGATAGTTAGATGCCACTTTAACTGTCCTGGATCAATGCTAAGGTGCCCTGACATTTGTAGTTTGGTGAGACACCAGCATTCTTTGGCAGAGATGGCTAAAACCTTGTAAATCTACAACTCCCATGATCCCACAGCATTCAATCATGGCAATTAAAGTGGTATCAAGTGTTAATTCTATACTACAGATGCACCCGTAGTGAGTCTAGGCTTCCCTGAAATCTACATCTGTCAAGGGACCAGCAGAAACAGAAGAAAGAAGTTGAGAGAACACAAGGGAGTCTACAGTCAATAAAAAGTTATCTTGTCCTTCATAATTCACTTATTATGTAGCTGTTTCTCTCAGCCAAAATTTAGGAGAAGGAGAAATTTACCCACCAGCTGCCCTAATGGCAACATAACCATATTAAGATTTCTCTGATTCTATGCCATGGTTTCCATATGGTCAGTTATTCAGCTGGCATAATGTTTGCAGAGTTTGTGGGAATTGATCTGAGATCCAGACATTATTCATGCTTAAAGTAGACCCGTTGAATCAAATGACACCCATAAGTTATGGCTAAGTTTTATTTGCACATTGACTCTGCTCTAAGCATAATTCTGGATTTGAGTCATTATCTTACGTTTGTACTCGTTTCCCTGTGTCTGTGCTTTCTTAAGATCTTCTGCAATATTTCACAGGTGTTTATTTTTTTAAACTTTTCTCTTAGATTCAACAAAGTCTCTAATGAAAATATCAGGAATTTCTGTAATCTGGGTCTTTTGGAAGAGTAACTACATTGTGTGCTATTCTTTTCTTGAATTTATCTTTTTTTTTAAAAAAAAAAGAGAGATCTCTGTTAATGTGATTAGATAATTAGAAAAGAATCGTGACAGATATATTGAAGACCAGAGGTTTCAACAGCTTGAGAATTAAATGGCATATTTGCCCTTCTATAATTTCTCCTTAAATTATGATGCAAGACATTAAAGATCTTAGTCTATAAATTTCCACTTTGGTCAAACTGTGATATATATATATGTCAGAGAAGCAGATTGTGTAACTGAACAAGGGAAGCAGGGAATGTTAATGGGATTCAACAACATCAAAACAATTAGAATACTTGCATATATGCCTTTGATGTGGTTCATGCTTTAGAATACACAATAGCTTCTATATTTTCTGAAAGTAGGCATAATACTGAAGTAGTATGGAAAGATTTAATGACAGAAAACACTATACAACATCCATATCCACAGTGATGCATTCTAAGACTTTATATGGAAACATGAAGCCATGAATAGCAAACACCATTTTTTCAATGGGATGAATGACAGAGGCATTGAGAAGAGGGTGCAACTTCTACAGGAGGGCTAACTGAATAGGTGAAACTTCATAGAACAGTTTCATGGATACTGGGGCTTCTTATACTAACATAGGCTTAAAGGAAGAAATATTCATATTACAAATAGGGGGTGTGTCTCCACTGGCCATTAAATACCCAGCCAATTCAAGGCAAAAAACATTTGGACGTCCCCAGAAATGGCCATGTGTACCCTGCTGAACTTGTATTGGCATCCACATGGTCCAGCCAGGCCTTGATTGCATCAGCCCTTGTGGACCATTACCTTATTTCCATATCTCCACCACCATTCCCAGCTCCATGTAAGCTCATGGCCATCACAGAAACCCCATTCTGACATCAGTGATTTGCGTTAGAATGAGGTGCTTGCAACAGCCAATTACTCCCAGGAAACCACAGAGTATGACTCCCAGCAAGCTCTTTGGCTTGCTGGGAATGACAGCAACATAGATACAATCCATCCCTAGGAAAGGGTGGTGTTGGTGGTGGTGTCCTGTTTGGACAGCATGCCAGTCCAAAGTGGACCTAATCCAGCTGTCCAGATGGCCTTGAAGTTGTGGGATACACCAGAACATCTAGAAAACTCTGGATCATCCCCCTACTGTCCCTGAAGCAGGGCAAAGCTTCTTTAACCCAAACAAACCTGCTATGCACTCTGGAAATAACCAAACATTGAGATGAAGTCAGGAGTACATTTGGGTGATTCTGCATTTTCTTGCCTTTGTAGACTTGCCCTAAGATTATAGGAAGTATTATTGTTCTTCAGAATTTCCAAAGTGGTATGCGTGCATGTCCATGTCTGTGTCTATTACAGTTATTCGTCCTCTGATCAAATTCCTCTGAAACACAGGTTAGCCTGGGAGGAGCAAGTCAATCACTATACTTCTGTAATACACATATTTAAACACACAGAGAATACTGACACACTTGTTAACTTTTCTTATTTTAGTATTTTCCACCTTTCTGCAATTTATAAAATGCTTGTATTCTATGGAACAAAACTTGTTTATCATCTTATGATTATTCCTTATTTTCTGTAGAGCTTACTGAGATGAAAATCTGAGTTATGCTTACTCTCATATTAAATTCAAATCATTCTTATAACCTATCAGTTTTCTACAGCTCTTTTCACTTAAATCAGTGTCTGCAAGGCAGGTGAAACAATGGTTCAGAATAAGAACGACTTTTGTGGAAGAGATGGTTAGAGAGAAAACATTCTACTTCTGCTGTGTTTTAATTGTTGCATGCTTTCCAATTGTTTCCAAGTTATGGCAAATGTATCATTGTGATTTCTTGGCAAGATTGCTTTCGAGCAGTTTTGCTACTAACTTCCCCTGAAGCTGAGAGACAATGATTTGCCCAAGGTTATCCACTTGGTTTTCATGGCTGGGCGGGGATTTGAACACTGATCTCCCAGGATTCGAGTCCAATATACTCAAACCACTAAAGCATGCTAGCATTTTTATGCTTGTGCTTGAATGTATGAAGAGGAGTTGAAATGTTGTTGAGTTCAATAGTCCTAAAATAATGATAGCAACTCAGAATCATTGAATTGGAAGGGACTATAATGGCAATCTGGTTAAAATTGCTGCCATGTAGGAACTAAAGATACCTGAAGGAACCTCTCTTTAAAGACCTTCAAAACCGAAGAATCCACCTCCTTTTGAGGTAGTCTAATCAATTGGTTCATGTTATGGTCTCTAGATCACCAGAAACATGGTATCCCTTCAGTTATATAAATATAGCCATCATAGTAATCATGGCACCTTTAAATCTTCTCTTCATTTCTCATAAAGCTTGGTTTCCAGATCTTTGATTATCCTGATCTTCCTTTTCTGGATATGTTCCAGCTTCTTGATATTCCTCTGGAACTGGTGCTCAGAACTGGACAAGGGATTCCATGTAAGGTCTTCTCAGTGCAGAGTAAAGTGGCACTACTACTTCCTTTGATCTGGTCACTATGATCCTGTTGAAGCAACCCAGAATTCCATTTGCTGTTTTGGTCACTGAGTCACATGTTTAGCTTGAGATCTACATTTTGTTACCTCAGGAAGTTTAAAACATTTCAGTTTTAAAATAAGTGAAGAATTTATTTGGCAACCTATGGAAATCAGTCATATATAATAGATGAATGATTTAATGAATCTCAAGCATTTAAGATCCTACAAAACTTCTTGTTGTTATGTAATTGATGGTTGCACACCTTTGAAGTTCTGCAGAGACCATATGAAGTTACCTATAATCTTGTGGATTTATTGTAATGGTTTATAATCTTGTGATTCTCCACTCCTATGTACTGAATGTAAATCTCCCACACTTCACTGAAGAATGACTTCTACTTATCCTTATCTGAAGACAAGATTTCCACTAAATATTTAAACCATCTGAATGCACAATAAGAAAATGCCTGAAATTTTGATATTTTATAATACATTCTTCCTGCAGTTCTCTGTTCTTTCACACAGAAATAGAAGTACTGCCTATTTTATGCTTTACCATGATTGCTGTATCAGAGAAACATGATATTCAGTTGCAATTGTCCATTTCCCTGCCCCCTCCAGTCTTCGCAAATCTAATGTTTCTGCTGCAGCATTACTTCCTGCTTATATATTCAGTTGCATGCTTGAATCTCAGTGTAGCTAATGCTGTCCCATGAGTGCTGCAATGTTGTTGTGAGCAAGACAATGCAAGGGCCATATTCAAAACAATATGCATGGTAAGACGGTGTAAAGTGAAGGCTTCAAGGGACTGCTTAGAAGACGGCTGGATAAATGCTTCCAACTAGGTCAGTGATAGAGCGGAAGGTAAGTGAGAGCCTCAAAGTAATTATCACATTTCTCTCATTCTGAGCACTGGGACATTTTTGAAGACTAACTCCAGCCTACCATCTGCTTTTCACTATAATGTGTCAGCTCAGAAAATCATGAGAATTTGCAGAGGTGTGGAGGGTGGAATAACAGGAAATTGACTAACCTGAGAACACATATTCATAGTGTAATCCCATGCATATCAATGAGTCTTCCTCTCTAGACTTACAGCCTTATTTAATTCAAAACTTGGAGTGCATTAAAAGAAATGTGATGAGATCACAGTTCCAGGGACTCTCTGAGTCGATACAGCTTCATTATTCTCAGAGAAAGCCTGAAAGGGGTACTTTTTCTTGGGCCACATCTCTCAGAATCTGCTAGCCAGCATGGCCTTTGGCTATGATGCTGGGAGGATTCTGAGAGTTATAGTGGGAAAGAGAGGTATTTTCCCCAAGCTCTGCTCTCAAAACTTCACTAGTGATGCTTTTAGTGTTCAGGGAAAAAAAGAATAGAAGAAATTGTCACAGTGGAATGACATCCAGGGCAATCTACTTTACTGCTGGTCAAGTCATTTTTTTGTCTGTTCTTTCCTTCAATGTACAAAATGTGCAACCTGTTACCTTTGAGATGCAGTTTTTTATGTGGGAAAACATAATTTTGTAGTTTGCTGCTTTTGAAAACCCAAGCAAATATGAAAAATAATTAAGCCAAAGTTGCTACTTTAGGACTCTTTCCCTTCTGGGGTTATTTTTACATCAAGCATTGCAAAAATGAAATTTTATAAAATTGAAATATCTTCTGTGCTTGAAAAGAAAAAAATAGCCAATGAACCAGGAATTGTTGCATCCATCCAGTACTATGAGATCGTGTCTTCAGTGTTTCTTGGAAAAGAAAGTATGGCTTTCTTTTTCTTTCTTTTTTCTTTTATTGGCACAATAACTTCATATAAGAACTACTTATGTCTGTGAATGAATTCATAATGAAATGTCATAATTAATTATGGCAATTGAAAAACAGGCTTTTAAAGAAAAGAAATCATGGCTAATTGAGGGTAAGCAGGCATGGAAAATATGACAGAACAAAACAGTGTAAGGCTATTAGACATTTACTGTTAAACTGGTTTTGCATTTCTGAAGGGGGAAAGGCTTTCTAATATCATTTAGTACTCAGAACAATTAACCTGTTACACTATATTTCCTTTTTACATTTCCTCTGAACATCAGATACTACAGAAACAAACAAAAATTAAAAATAAAACAGGGACAAATATAGACTAGGGAAAGACCAAGACATTGTACTGCTAGAGATGCTTCCTTCCATACAGAAACTTGCTGCACTGATAATTCAACCATCCTTAACATGGATGATAAGATAGGGACCAGCAATCTGGTTTTGTGGGTGCCAGATAGATATGTCAAACTTCTCTTTCTTATGATCAGTGTCTCAGTTAACTCAGCAGAGTTTGGGACAAACAATGATTTGGATTCTATCTAAGAACTTAGGAATCAGCACAGTATTGTCAGATACTGTGTCACATTCCAAGTAGGGTCACTTTTTGTAATTTTATTTTTCTGAGTCCATCAATGAGATTTCTCACTGAGATGTTTTTTCAGTCCATTAGAAAAAATAAGAAAAAAATTGAATTGAATTGGCATAGATCAGATGGGTATGGTTGGTTGATAGATAAGATGAGGGAGGGAAGGAGGGAAGCATATGATTTTTGTAATAGAAAGATGCCCCAGAGTTAAATCTAGAAGTGTCATTTAAAGTCCTCTGCATGGCAAAAAATCAAACCTACTTCAACTAGACATTTAATGAATGGCCTACATCCAATTATTAGTCCCAACTAAAGTAAGCCCATCAGATGGAAGGTAAATCAGCATTTATTTATTTATTTATTTATTTATTTATTTATTTATTTATGATATTTCTATCCTGCCTTTCTCAAACCTGAAGGTGACTCAAGGCAGCTTATAACCAGGCAGCAATTTGATGCCTAACAATATGCAATTAATAGAATTAAAAATACATTCAACATATAAAACCAATGCCTTCATTGTTAGTCTAATTGTCCATGAATTGTCGTCTGAGCCCTTCCAATGTTCACATTCGTCTAATACCATGTTTGACTGTTGCATTACATTCCAAAGGCTTGTTCAAATAGCCACAATTTCACTTTTTTCCCAGAAGGTCAAGAGGGAGGTTGCTGACTTAATGTCCCTGAGGAGGGCATTCCACGACTGAAAAGGTATTTATGTAAATACCTTTTATTCAACAAGTCTACTCTCGTTGGGGTCAGCAACTGGATTTAGGTGAATAGATTCCTTTGACAATTTAGATTGCCTTGGTTCAAAGAGGCTTAGTGAGAACATTTCAGATCCTATGGGATTCCATGCCTCCAGGTGACAGCAAAATGACAGCCTTTGTAATTCACACAATTTCTATACAAGGCCAGTTTATTTCCCTTTTGAGAAGCAAAGCACACATACCAAAAGCACAGAACAACTGGCTGATCATTTTAAAAAGATGCAAACAGCCCATCTGCCATGCTTTAGACTTAATGTCCCCCAAGGTCCCCCATGACCTTCTGGCAAGGAAACTAGTCCAATGTGGGCTAGGCAAAACTACGGTGAGATGGATCTGTAATTGGTTAAATGGACGAACCCAGAGGGTGCTCACCAATGCTTCCTCTTCATCTTGGAAAGAAGTGACGAGCGGAGTGCCGCAGGGTTCCGTCCTGGGCCCGGTCCTGTTCAACATCTTTATTAATGACTTAGATGGAGGGCTAGAAGGCAGGATCAACAAGTTTGCAGACGACACCAAATTGGGAGGGAGAGCCAATACTCCAGAGGACAGGAGCAGGATTCAAAATGATCTTGACAGATTAGAGAGATGGGCCAAAACTAACAAAATGAAGTTCAACAGTGACAAATGCAAGATACTCCACTTTGGCAGGAAAAACGAAATGCAAAGATAGAGAATGGGGGATGCCTGGCTCGAGAGCAGTACGTGTGAAAAAGATCTTGGAGTCCTCGTGGACAACAAGTTAAACATGAGCCAACAATGTGATGTGGCGGCAAAAAAAGCCAATGGGATTTTGGCCTGCATCAATAGGAGCATAGTGTCTAGATCTAGGGAAGTCATGCTACCCCTCTATTCTGCTTTGGTTAGACCACACCTGGAATATTGTGTCCAATTCTGGGCACCACAATTCAAGAGAGATATTGACAAGCTGGAATGTGTCCAGAGGAGAGCGACTAAAATGATAAAAGGTCTGGAGAACAAGCCCTATGAGGAGCGGCAAAGGAGCTGGGCATGTTTAGCCTGAAGAAGGGAAGGCTCAGAGGGGATATGATAGCCATGTATAAATATGTGAGAGGAAGCCACAGGGAGGAGGGAGCAAGCTTGTTTTCTGCTTCCCTGGAGACTAGGACGCGGAACAATGGCTTCAAACTACAAGAGAGGAGATTCCATCTGAACACGAGGAAGAACTTCCTGACTGTGAGAGCCGTTCAGCAGTGGAACTCTCTGCCCCGGAGTGTGGTGGAGGCTCATTCTTTGGAAGCTTTTAAACAGAGGCTGGATGGCCATCTGTCAGGGGTGATTTGAATGCAATATTCCTGCTTCTTGGCAGGGGGTTGGACTGGATGGCCCATGAGGTCTCTTCCAACTCTTTGATTCTATGATTCTATGATTCTATGATTCTAATATCTATGCAAGAGAACACCAACCATTGCTATTTTTGCATGATTGCTCAATCTTATTTCATTTCTGCAAATCTACATCCTTTCAATGTACACACACAAACACATACACACACACACACCATTGAGTGCTTATTGTTTTACCTCTGCAACTGTTGGGTCGAGGAGGATAACCTTGCCACTCTGTGCCCTTATGTGCAAGCACAAGCACAATTTCCAACCCTAAACTCAACCCACCAAATATATTATACCAAAGAGATGAACCTCCCTGCAAAAAAGACTGGGGATTCGAGAAACCATAGAAGGTTTTGAAACAAATTACTGTACCACATTCCTGGACTTATGGTAATTTTGGATAGTGACAAAAACCCAAAACCATAGGCAGCCAGTTTTAATCATGAATTTTAAACTTGTGTCTTGTGTTTAATCCTTGTTCTGTGTATTTTGGTATGCATTTTTTAGAAATATGTTTAAATATTTGGATTTTATAGAATTTTTTAGATGATTATGTGCTTGTTTCAATGTTGTAACCCATCTTGAGCCATGAGGAAAAACAGGTAAGAAATACAATAATAATAATAATAATAATAATAATAATAATAATAATAATAATAATAATTGTAAAATGTCAGAAAAGGTTTGCTTCCTTGGATCACTTTTACTTGAAAACTGTCATTGGACACCAAAAACACAATAACTTTAGTTGGAACATAAAAAAGTATCAGTGGCAAAATTCAATTCTCTCTCACTGTTTTTGGAAAAGGTGCTCTTAAAATTAAATCTCCAATGCTAGATCAGTTTTTGTTATTTAAAAATTAATCCACATATCTCATTGACTGGGGGAATAAACAGAATAGCAGCAAGAATCAATGTTTTCAGGTTGTCCTTTCTTCCTTTTGATTGCAGGCATTTTCAGAAAGTGATGTGGCTTATACTTGGAGTTGTTTCTTATAACGGCACAAGTGAAAATTTCTTTGAAGAATCATGCTGTAGGACTAATGAAAAGTGGAGTGCGGTTACAGGCAATGTTAACATTGACATCTTTGGAATACAAATGTAAGCCTGGAAAGTCATTGTACTTACAACAGAAGACAGATGTTTGTGGGAGTGCTTGTGGCAAAATAATTATTTGGAATAGTTGTTCTGATACAACAATTCATGGTCACCATCATCACAACCAACCTTATATTGGAGGCTATACACATTTAGTTAATACCATTAAACAAATATACATGTTGGTCAAGGAAGTCTGTGGATATTTTAAACATATACTGTTTCCTCATAAAACTTACAATGTAGGTCCAACCGCAAGAAGAGTCAAGCTTTCTTTGTCTTACCACAGTATTAATAATTAGGCTTGTGCATAGATTCATTTTGGATGTTTGCCTTCGGCTTGTTTGGAAGTTCATAATGGCATGGGCTTCACTGCCATTTTTTACCAACCACCTACAGAACAGAGGTTGTCGAAAACAGACTGCTTTCAGGTTGTTTTGGTTACACATTGAGTGCGTGGAGGAAGGCAGCCACTAGAAGGAAAAGAGAAAGGATTCCAGGAAATGAGGTTTCTTAAGCCATTTATTAAACCCAGGTATCCTCTACAGACAGAAGGGAAAGGATTGCAGAAAGAGTGGCATTGTAACTCTGATGCTTTTAATTCAGGTCTTAATAAAGGATGTAAGAACAAACAATGCCTAAAATTATGGGAACAAGTGCCTGGGAAGATCTTTTGGCTTCCTAGATCAAAAACAGATTTCTGTCCTCCCTAATTCAGGAGGCTCCTGAAAAATAGATTGGGACACCCACTGAAATCTGGGGCACCAAAACAGATTGCAGTTTACCTGGATTGCACAAGCCTATTATAATTCTAATGAAGGACCATGTGTAAGGCCATTCAGGAAGGTATGATTACTTGCAAAATTTTCAGTCTGCCCTAGAATTGGTGAATGGTGACACATTCTGAGATTTGATAACATCCAGGAACCTATTTATTATTATTTATTTGCTTTATTTCTATACCGCATTTTTCAGCCCTTAACAGGCGACTCAATGCGGTTTACATGGTACAATTATCAAACAGTGTCAGTGCAATTAAAACATAACAATGCAACAAACAGGATCAACAGCATCAATCCACAACAGTTAACAATCAACAAGACAGACATAACATAACGCCTCAGTTGAAATCAGATCCGTTCTCATAATCCTTGTGCCATTCCTATGTTCCATTTACCGTCTTCCTATGATTGGTTGCACTGCTTAACCAAACGCTTGTTCATAAAGCCAGGTCTTAACCATTCTCCGAAACGTCAGCAGCGAAGGTGCCTGTCTGATGTCTGCCGGTAGGGCATTCCATAGCCGAGGGGCCACCACTGAGAAGGCCCTGTCTCTCGTCCCCGCCAGCGCGCCTGTGACGCAGGCGGGATCGAGAGCAGGGCCTCCCCAGACGATCTTAATGTTCTGGTCGGTTCATAGGTGGAGATGCGTTCGGAGAGGTAAGCAGGGCCAGAACCGTTTAGGGCTTTATAGGCTAAAGCCAGCACCTTGAATTGTGCCCGGTAGCGGATTGGCAGCCAGTGGAGCTGGTTCAGCAGAGGAGTGGTATGCTCCCTGAGTGCCGCTCCCGTTAGCAACCTGGCCACCGAGCGCTGGACCATCTGAAGCTTCCGGGCAGTCTTCAAGGGCAACCCCACGTAGAGCGCGGTGCAGTAATCAATCAAACCTAAACATTGGGAAACATGTTCCTACCTCCCCTTATGTATTTCTTCATTAATTATTAGAATGTTGGAGTATCGAGCATCAGATAGAGCAAACTGGAGATCCTCATTCAGATTGGAGGCCAAATTTATCTTTAGGGAAATTCTTTGAAGTACATTCCAATAGTAGGCAGGGCCAAGCCAAAAGGACAAATCCAACAATATCAAAATATTTTAACTTAAAATTGTAACTGCTAGTAACTTAAGACTTTACTGTTCTTATATGCCCTCCAACCTGTGTTAAATCTATACATGGAAGAGCTCCAAAAGATCCTGGTATTAATTTAAGCCTAAGGGGACACTTTTTTTGAACTTCTATGAATGGAACAAAAACAATGCCAGAAAGGAGGATGTTGCTGACTGGAGAAGCCCAGGAGGTAGCATGGGATTGCAAAAAGGCTGATTTGAGTCTCAGGGCCCAAAGATCCCCACTCCCTTCACAAAAGATATTTGAACTATCTGATAAATCATTGCCACTTTCACACAACTCCATACCCTGGAGAGTGTGTGGTGTGGTGCTTCCACCTCTCTACAGTAATTTCACTTATTGGATATCCAGACAGAAATATTGTAAGATATATTGTCGAAGGCTTTCATGGCTGGAATCACTAGGTTCTTGTAGGTTTTTTGGGCTATAGGGCCATGTTCTAGAGGCATTTCTCCTGACATTTCACCTGCATCTATGGCAAGCATCCTCAGAGGTAGTGAGGTCTGTTGGAAATAGGAAAATGGGTTTATTATATATCTGTGTAATGACTGGGGTGGGGCAAAGAGCTCTCTGCTGAAGCTAGGTGTGAATGTTTCAGCTGACCACCTTCATTAGCATTTGAAGGCTTGGCTGAGCCTGGGAAAATGTTCTGTTGAGAGGTGTTAAGATGTGCCTGGTTGTTTCCTCTCTGCTGTTTTGCTGTAGTAATTTTAGAGTTTTTAAATACTGGTAGCCAGATGTTGGAAATAGGAAAATGGAGGAGACCATGAAAATGAACAAAATCTGGCTACCAGTATTAAAAAACTCTAAAATTACTACAGCAAAACAGCAGAGAGGAAACAACCAGGCACATCTTAACACCTCTCAACAGAACATTTTGAATTTGTTCTTTTCTACTTGGGGCCTCTTTGATTGCCCCCTCCCCCTTCTCATAATTCTAGAATCTCAGATTATCCAAAGAAACTAAATGATGGGAGATAGGTCTAACACAATACTAATATGTTAGATGTCAAATTTGTCAGAGTTTGTGTATACTACTGTGTATACTACTCAGTATTTCCAAAAGTTTAGTAACATTACTTATGAATTTGGTATTGACTGTCACAAGATCTAGAACTGGCCACTCAACTCATTTGTTTGTTCCCACATATAATTGCCCTCATGATAAAGTAGCTCCCCCTGACCCTTATAAAGACTAAACCCCACTGCTCCTCCTTCTTGGGCTCCTTTCTTACAAATATATTTTTCCCTACCTCACCCAGGGTTTTACTTTTTAACATTTTAGCTCATACATATGGCCCGCCCTTTGTGTTTGATTTTACTATGCCATTTTATATTGTTTACTTTATTTGTTAATTTATATATTTTGTTGTGATGTATTTTTGCTGTTTTGTGTTTAATTATGTTGGGCTTGGCCTCATGTTAGCTGCCCCGAGTCCCCTTTGGGGAGATGGTGGCAGGTTATAAATAAAGTTTAGCATTATTATTAACCACCTAGACAGATTTAAAGGATGAGATTAGAGCAAGATAGGTAGGGTAAAGACATCAATGGCCACTCATCAAGACAGCTTATCTCTAAATTAAGAGTTAATTAAATTAACTTATCTAAATTAAATTATCTCTAAATTAAGAGTTTGGAAAGGAAAACAGCAGAATGCTGTTGTCCTTATTAATCACCTCATCACATGAACCATGAAATCCATGGTGGTCCATCTGTATTTCGTAGGCAATTGTGTTTTCTTCTTGCTTCTTTCTTCCATTGTTTTCCGCCTTCCTCCCCATCACACATGTCTTTTTGTCAGAGAAGGCCTGCAACTCAAGAGAAAGAGAATCAGAGGCTGTGATATCTCCAGTCAGGAAATAAAAGGTGCCTCCAGTTTCCTCTTGACCCCCCTTTTCTCTCCCTCTCTCTTTTTTTCCTCAGGAGAACAAAGGGTTTGGTTCCCCAAGCCTTGACATAATGTGAGCATTAATGTGTTTGGCTTTGATATTAATAATGATAATCTTTACCTAAAATTTACAAACCAAAGCAAACACTTTCTAGGATTTCCCATCCAGGGCTTGACTTTCCCTCACAAGAGCAGTGTAATTTTCATCCACTTAAGATGCCCCATCTAAGTCTTGGCTTTCCATCGCAAGAGACTACTGCTTTCAGAAGGACAGCTGATGGGAATGCCCTTCTGCCATGTACCAAAAGAGGAGGAGAGTGTGACAGTTCTCTTCACTCATGCTTTCCAGCTACTATGGATCTAGCGTGTGGTTGGAACTTTGAACATGTTTGCTTCTCTGTGTTCAGAGCTCACCCCTTTTGCCACGATTGCTGTTCAGTTCAACAACAGGGGGCAGAAATTATGACCGGAAGTACATGTGTGTTGTGTGATGGCAGCTGTGCCTCCCTGTTGTTGAACTGGAGCAAAAGAGTCCTACAACAGGTAAGGTGAAGTCACTAGTGCTTCTGGGCTTTCTGTAAACTAGTGGTATGCCACTGTGCAAAGCAGGATGCTGAGCTAGAACCTTTGGTGGTCTCCCCCCCCCCCCTTTTAATCAGCAGTTATCTTTGTTTCAGTATATTTCATGATCTTATTTAATGTCCTTTAACTTGTATGAAGGTTTCTTGGAAAATTTTAGCAAGGCTCCAGGCATCACCATCTGGCTCTTTAAACTGACTTGAATGCCCTTAAAGCAGATGCCATTTTTCTGAAATATTGTAGGGAAATATAGGGTTGAAAAGCGATCAGTTCTTGTACTGCAGGATGATTTAATTCCATGACCTTATGGTGTTTCGCTTAATGGGGACAGGATATGAATATTTTATCCAATGTTTTCTGAACAGGAAGAGTCTCATAGATGTTATGTCGCTCATCTGCTTTTTTTGAAAAAAGCGATGACACACACACAGGAAAATGTGGGAGTATTTCATTCTGAGCCTTGCACCTGGAATCTTATCAAATGAGATGGAATTCTTTTCATCTGGGGCTCATTAGCTCTGGTGAATCGTAACTCAGGCATTCTGATAGGCTGGTTAACATAGAAACAATTGTGCCTCCTTCAATAGATGTCAGCGGAGCACTAAAAGATATTGGCTGGAATTGATT